AAAGCAAATGATTTACCTAAGAATCGTTTTCTCATCTAAGAAAATACCACTTGTGTAACTTTCATTGAACTCGATAATTGACACTTAAGTTTCAGAACAGTACCAATGTAACTCATATCTCTTTTCTGTCCTTTGCAGCAGACACAAAATACCATTTGGAGGTTTAGCTGGTTGGGTTTTGGGGGKYTTTTTGGTAGGTCAGAGAGACGCTGGTACACAAAACCAAAAAACTGCCTAAAGGACTCAACTGTCTTAAGAGTTAATATCTTTTTAGAGACAACACGAGGATCATTTGCTTAACCCAAACACAGTTAACTGCAAAAACTAAATCAATTAAAATTATGACTCCTAGCAAACACCAAAAAAGAGCTTACATTTTTTTTTCAATTAGCTTATTAAAACTATCAAACAAAATAGCAAAATCATATAGAACTTAATACCTTCAGAGTAGAACATCATTACAAAAAAAGCACCAGTTAGAACAATGTTTTGAGTAGCAGATAYTTAGCAATTTTTAATTTAAAGTCTAAAACCCAGGTTAATAAGAGAACTGAATACATCCTCCTTAAATCTAATCTAMACCATTSTAATTAMGAAAAAAAATCCAAGTATGAAAATGTTAATYTCTAGCAGCACTACACTTGATTGTCRTTTGAAGATCTGGGCTTTTGGTCACGCAGAATAATTCAGTTATTATTCTCTAATCTAGTTACCCTGAAAAAGATAAGAGATAGCAAAAAAGGCAATGTAAGAATGCACATGCCATAGGAAGTGGATTGCCTATTTCWTCCTCTTTCATCTCAGGGTCAGACTGAAAACTGTGAAGTGGCAGTGTAGAGYTCACTTCATATGCCAATCGGTGAAAATATTTCCCAGCGCATTCTTCACTACAGATCGTAAGTTCTCATAACTAGACTGTTTATTTTTAAATGGATATTATCCATCTCCCCCTTCCTCTTGTAACTCTACGGATGGCAATGTCTMATAAACCACACAATTACATTTATCATCCAAGAGTCACCTTAAACTTGTCCAAGAAGTAATTGCAGTGTGAGACAAAGGTAGTGTGCCAAGAGAGGTCTAATTGCATCACCCTACCGAGACTTTTTTCAAGTACATAAGCTGAGAAAGGAGGAGCTGGTTCGAGTCTCACATTTCAAAGAGAAATTCATCAAATTATGCTTGCCTGATCTACCTGAGAATCTCTGTGAACATCAGCTTTTACATTCTATGGCATGTGGTGGGACACTGCGTATAAAACCAGACAGACTGTAGTGTGCTGTTAACCATACTTTTGTAACCCACACATCTGCACATCGAATTCTAGTATATCAGCACATCAATAAAACTTCTGTGAACCCTTYAACTGCTATAAACTTGAAGTAATTTATTTGGTAAGTGACAAACAGCAATAGTTTTCTAATAATTCTGAAATTGTCCAAAATAAGGATGGAGATTTTTAATATGGAGCTGCATATATAATACAAACATACATATATATAAATTTAAATATATACTTAAAAGGAACTCCAAAATTTTAGAAATTAAAGGTTTTCAAAAGCCTACAGAAAATTGTTTTTGTGCTACTTCAATGGATTACAAGTCCTGAAGGAAAAACAGCCTCTGTTCCCAAACAAGCATACATGAACAGCTGGTCCAGACAGCAAAGACCTGCTGTTGTATTATCAGCCCACTGCTGAGCTCCTTGGGTATTGTCTCCTGCTCAGGCCATTCTCCCCTCCCTTTTCTCTTCCATCTTCATAGTTCCTTCTCTCCCCCATGAACAATTCCATATCATATGCATACACGGACCATTTTTATTGTTGTTTAGGCTGGAGCGCATTAAAACCCAAGAGACTTTTGTCTGGCCATTTTATGAAAAGTGACAGCATCAGAGTGAAAGTGTGG